GGCCACAATTACAGTTAAATAAGACAAGATGAAGAACAGTGATGTCAAATTAAGCTCCCAGACTTCATGTTAATCACTTGTGTAATAAGGGAGGAGCCAAGAGAGGAATTGGTGACCTCCCACTCTCACTGCTACCAGTGAGAGTGGGATCAAGTGACTGTGTGAATCTGTGTGCGTGTGTGTGTGTCTCTGTGCACAGGCACCTGTGTTTGCGTGCTTGATCACGTAAATGACAACCTAGAGTGACAGCTAAAAATGCCAAAGGCAATCTAAGGAGACAAAAGGTGAATAGAAAAGAAGTAATAGAAAACTCAATCAGTGTTGATATGGGGAGAAATGGAAAAAACTGGAGACTTTTTCAACTAGTTGAAACAATAAAGGTAGTAAAGAATGGAAGAGGGGAAACAGAAAATAGATATTACTCCAAAGAACATTACCGGCCATCTTCATTTTACATTCTTTGAATGGCTACCAGCCTTTCAGAGGTAAACTCAGTTTTAATGACTCCTGCTTGTAAAACACTTTTCTTCTTCCTGATACCCAAGATTGTTTTCATGCTGTCTCTCAAACGAACATGGAAAGGAAGCTTCCAGGAATCATTTTCCTGATTCAAGTGAACACCTTATAACCAGAAACAGGCTGACAACAGGCAAAAACCTAACTTGGGAGGAGAGATTCATCTTAAATAATCATAATGTCAGTACCTCTAAATTCAAACTGTGTGTGACCTGAATCACAACTATAAGCTGCAAAGACAATCGTTGCCTCCTGAGTGATAAAGATGAGAAAGTCCAGACTGGCTTTCTTTAGTCCATCCTTAGAAAGCACTCTATAATCTTTCTCTTTTTAAGCCATGACTAGGTATTTTGTTTCCAATCAGAGCAAGAACCCACCAGCTGAAAACAAATAAACTAAAATGGTGAAAGTTATAACAGTAAGGAAATACAAAACAAACCCATGCTTTGAGCAGAGGAACTACTTGGGAGAAAAGGAAAAAAAAAACATCTATTCTAGTTAAATCTTCTAGGCTAGGAGAAAGAAAATTACTCAGTCTCCTGAATTCAAACAAAGTGTTTAAGAGTGCTTTCCCTCCAAGTGTCTTTGGAGAGTGATTAGTTTTTCTAGATTTTAACCCCAAAATTGAAAAAACTCCCAAAATGAGCAACATTGGCTCTCACCCTGCAACCAAATCCTTCACCCTTAATTAAATCTTGCATATGAAATCCAGTCATAGGCAGCAAGATGGCTGATGTTCAAAACAGTGTAGATTACTTCAAACCTCACCAAGATAAAAATTACAATGAATTGTCTCCTAAGCTTTTTTAAAAGCTTCCAAAGTCAGTGAATGCTTTGCACACCTCAGCCCAGCTGTACTAACTTGGTGCAACTGATGCAGACTAGCTTTTGGATATGCAAGGGTACTAACATGAGTATTAGACTTGCTGAAGTCTTTTAATCATTGTTTGACATCAAAGCATAGATTTTGTTAGCTTGGTTTACCATCTGTTTACCCCAACTGAAAGAGGCACTTCTATCTCACTAATTTGCCCCCTGTTCACAGGCGGGCAGAAATGTGTTCTAGTAAACTTAAGTCATTGGTTTGGACTCAGAGAAGCATAACAAAGCAGAAATATCTCTGATTTAGATCACTGTATGGCAATGGTATCCCAAATAAATGTTATTGCTGTATCGATACTGATTCAGATATACTATGTTGACCTGGCAGAACATGGTATCCTATTTTGCTATAGTAGTTTTTAGCCTATAATTTCAGCAAAGATGATAGATAAGTAAGAAGCAGATGAATATAAAGATGACTCTTGGATGCATGTCTTCACTTAAAAGCTACCCAGCAACACTTACATTTAACTGTTTTTTGCATAATGTCCCTCCTAGTAAAAAGTTTTTGCAAATAGATTACAAGAGAAATATAAACACAAAAATAACATATTTTTAATTTATTTTTTGCTTCCCTGATAGTGCACTTTCTCAAAATGAAGCACTCATACACAGCTCGGCATTCTTAGTTATCCAGTGAACACAATTTTCATTTACCAGTGGTACAGAAAATTATACACCCTAATGAAATTAAAAAATAATGCAGGTGACTTTTACCAACTTCTGATTTCAAAACCATAAAATTCTGATGTTTTTAGCAGCCTAAATGAATAATGACACTGAAGATCTCAGCTTAGTGCAAATGTAGGTGTTAGCTGAGATAACCTCTTGATGAAATGACCCATGTGGTAGATATTCTACAGCAAACTTTCTGAATATCTGATACCTTCAGGAAAGGCTGCTTCTTCTAGGAACACGGTCAGAGATAATGAACAGTGTGATGGCTGCCTTTCTGGATTCTCTGAAGAAAAACTGGTCAATGTTGAAATGCTAATTACTTCAGATTGACATCAATACGGAAAGAAGTTATACTGGGCAGTAAGCTGGCCTTCAACCATGCGTAATTATTTTTGGGTTGTTTTTTTTTTTCTTTTTTCTTTTTCTTCATGATTTTTATCCAATCATTCAAAGATATATGATAATATTTGGGAATCTGACTGAGTATGTTAAAGGCTTAAAAGGGCAAAAGGGCTGTTTGGAATCAGCATAGTGATGTATAGCCACATCTGCTGAAAGCAGATGAATCCCATTACCCACCCATCAGTGCAAATTCCTGCTTCTGTTCTGTGGGTGAAAGTACTCTAGTTTAGTAGATGAAAATTTAGAATGATGTGAGGAGGAGGATGTAAGTAGCCGGCATGAGTGCTCTACGTGATACAAGCAGTTAGGAGGAGGAATGATAGTGAAAGGAAGTAATATATGCGTTTTCCACAGCACTCCATCACTTGTTATAGAAACCTTGTTAGCAGATGAAAGTGACAGGTGAGGTTCAGCACTGTAAAAAAAAAACAGCACATACATGGCATGATGACTGCCAAAGCAGGGGAGCCGAGCAATCAGTGAACAGCCTTGGAATCCACACATTAAACAGGTACTGTTTTGTTCCTAAAATCCAAAGACAAGCAGAAACTGCTAGACCAGGGCAAAAGATGAAGGAGAAAGAAAAACATATATGCTTTAAGCCCATGGCGTGTAACATCAGTGGGTATGCAAAGAAAAAGAAAAAAAGAAAAAAAAAAAAGCAGCATAACATGTCACCACCCACTGTTTACATAACTTACATTCATAGTAAAAGAATTTTTCCACAAGCAGAAAGCCTCTGAGATTGCCCAGGACTAATTTCTAATGTTGTGATTTTAGCCTTAGCAGTATAGGGAAAATGGTCGCAGCAGACACCACTTCCAAGATACTCAGTGAGGGAGTAGAAATATCATTGCTTCACCACTGTGACACTCTCATTTGTAAACCAGATGCTAACTATCTCAGTTATCAAAGTAATTTAGGGAAGTCCCAGCAATCCATGGTGTGAAGGAGTAGTTCCAGAAAAAGAACTAGTATGAGCTCTGTGAGTTTCCACTGTTACTGTTCTACAGAAGACTGGGATTCTTCTAAAAAGATCCCTTACAGAGACGTAATCTTCACGAACCAGTGTCACCTGTTTGAGACAGAGAAGAAAGTGTAGTATAGTGTGCAACACCAGGATTTAGTCCTTTACTTTTACTCCTCTTCATTCCTAATCCATTTTCAAACTTGAAAATTAATTTGCATAATTTTCTGCTCCAGTGACTTTCAAGGATTAATTGTGCTTCTGAAAGGGACAGGAGCAGTTTTGTCATAAATGGGATGTTGTGACTGGTCTTGTTTAACATCTTTGTTGGTGACATGGACAGTGGGATTGAGTGCACCCTCAGCAAGTTTGCTGATGACACCAAGCTGTGTGGTTCCGTTGATATGCTGGAGGGAAGGAATGCCATCCAGAGGGACCTCGACACACTTGTGAGGTGGGCTGATGCCAACCTCATGAAGTTTAACCATGACAAGTGCAGGGTCCTACCCCTGGGTTGAAGCAATCCCAGGCACAGCTACAGGATGGGCAGAGAAGAGATTCAGAGCAGCCCTGTGGAGAAGGACTTGGGGGTGTTGGTTGATGAGAAAATGAACATGTGCTGGCTTCAGTGTGCGCTTGCAGCTCAGAAAGCCAACCATATCCTGGGCTGCATCAAAAGAAGCGTGACCAGCAGGTCAAAGGAGGTGATCCTGCCCCTCTACTCTGCTCTCGTGAGACCTCACTTGGAGTATTGTGTGCAGTTCTGGTGTCCTCAACATAAAAAGGACATGGAACTGTTGGAACAAGTCTAGAGAAGGGCCACGAGGATGATCAGGGGACTGGAGCACCTCCTGTATGAAGACAGGCTGAGAAAGTTGGGGCTGTTCAGCCTGGAGAAGAGAAGGCTGGAGTGGAGACCTCATAGCAGCCTTCCAGTATCTGGGGGGGGCCTATAGGGATGCTGGGGAGGGACTCTTCATTAGAGACTGTAGTGATAGGACAAGGAGTAATGGGTTAAAACTTAAACAGGGGAAGTTTAGATTGGATATAAGGAGGAAATTCTTTCCTGTTAGGGTGGTGAGGCACTGGATTGTGTTGCCCAGGGAGGTTGTGAATGCTCCATCCCTGGCAGTGTTCAAGGCCAGGTTGGACGAGGCCTTGGGTGACATGGTTTAGTGTGAGGTGTCCCTGTCCATGGCAGGGGATTTGGAATTTCATGATCTTGAGGTCCTTTCCAACCCTAACTGTTCTATGATTCTCACTGACTTACTTAGGAAATACAGGTTTATTCATGGTGATCGCTCCTGGCGAGATTCTTGCTTAGAGTTACTTGGTACCACCTTCCAGCAGCAAACAGAGCCATGGGTGCACACAGGTGTTCAGCCTTCTCTTAATGATAAACCCACATACTTTTCTCCTCTCAAAATCATCAAACATGCATAATGGAGAAATCCAACCTCCTGCAGTCTCACACAGTCTATCTGTTCATGAGGCTTTTCACAAATCACTTGAACTATCCTTCTCTGTGGTTCTTGACAATTCTTTCTGTTTTCAGGAAGAAGTAGGAAAAAACACATGCTACCCAGCTATGATTTGGCAGTTGCACTAAGTTAGGTGCACTGTTGTTGACATTTGTCAGCTGAGGACCTGGACTCCTATTCAAGGTAGAGGTATCTCATCTGAAGCCTTCTAGGTAGGCAGCAAGAGACAGTGTTACAATGTCCATAGCCAGTGCCAAAATGACCTATTAATCAGTAGAATGAAAATAACATGAATTTTCAATGATTATGTGAGATATGGATAATTATGATCCAATCTGCATTGCTTCTCATGGTAATTATAAGGATTAACATACTATTATGATTACACTGTAACAGTGTGGATGTAGTACTACCAATATTATGGGTTTATACTGAGAAGAAAGCTGAAACGGATGACCTCTAATCAACAGGGAATCCAAACAGTCTTACTAAGCCATAGAAAAAAAAAAAAAAAGACAGTTGAATTATTTAAAATCTGGGTTTGCCTTCAAATTCTGTAAAATAAAGTAACAGGGATTTTTCATTTCCTCTCCTCCTCTCCCCTTCCTTTCCTTCTATGCTACCTTTCTTTTCCTTCCCTTCTACTCTTCCCTCTCCTTTTCCTTCCTCTCCTCCCCTTTCTATGTCTCTCTCCATCCCAACCCCTATGAAAAATGATCTCCATTGTTATTTCTTCCCATACAAGTGCAAAAAATGTTACCTGAGACACATATTTTGCCTAAAAATGCTGGTATGCCCTCAAGTTACCAAGCTTCAGCAGATTTCTCATCTGCTGAGCTATGGTATGTCTCTAAACTTGCATTTAGTCCACACTAGAGGAAAACCAATACAGTCCACAGCAAGAAAAAATATCCTAGCTGCAACAAATCCTGCCAAAGTAATTCCCATCCTGATGGAGAAAACCTTGTTTTATCATTTGTGACTAGTCTCTGCTCAGCTAACTGGTTGTCAAACTGAGTACTATGAAAACTGCCAAGTAATCAGCCTGAAACTTAGCTGAGTTATACTTACTCAGTGGGGAACAAAAAAAAAATGAAATATGTAATCATCATCTTTGAGGTTCTCAAAATTCATGAGTAAGCCCACAAAAAGACCTGGATAATTTTAAGCACATTTTTTTCATCTTTAATTTGCTTTCTATTATGAAGGTCTGAAAAGGACAAGTTTTCAAGTTATTTACAACCATTAGAACTAGAAATAGACTTTTTTTTTCTTTCTATTGCAGGCAGAAACAGTCATGTCTCCGATAGCAAAATGTTTGAATTTACAATAGTGTCTCTTGTTTCACTCTCTGTAGGATAACCAGCCTCTGAAACATTGAGAGAAACCTCCTTTCTAGTAGACTTTCCAGAAGAGAGCTTCCTCTCTTTTCTAAGAAACTCTCGGTACAAAGAAACACATTCTGCCTTCATGCCAAAGCAATACACATCACTGTTGCAGGAGAACCCTCATGTCTGGGTTAAATTTCATTTTTGTCCAACTAAATATATATATATAGGCTCTTGAAGAAATGTTATCCTGTCCTAAGATGATCATTTGGTGTAAGTATTGATTTGGTTTTACTGGAAGACCATGAAATTAGTGTATCCTTTATATGCTGAGTACTTACTTAGTCAACCTCCACGTCCATGTGAGGAAGGATGCCTGTGATCACTGTAGGTCATGAGGTGTTAGAAACTGCTTTGGTTAACAGTAGCAAACAGGAAATCTGTGGGTTTGAAGATGGCAACCTGATGTTTTCCAGGTGGGCTGTTCTGAGAGGAGGCCTGGAGTGTTCACCAGAATTTATCGGTTGCCAGTTTCAGAAGTTAATTTTGTTCGGAGAAACAAGAGAGAGAAGTGCCAAGGGGAACATATGGCACAATAAACTCCCAGTGGATGAAATGCATTTTTGGACTGAATGCCAGAAAATGCCATGAGCTGCCTGAGGGCTTGCAAAGCATTTTGGTAGGACCTGCTCTTTGTATTGGTCTTTTCATTTCTCCAGGCTACAGCTTTAATGTTTTCCATCTGAACACATCAACATTTTTCTTAGAAAAATCTTGATTTGTTCCACTCAAAAGACCACTTTTAAAGGTTTTCTGGCAGTGTAAGAACAGCTGTACTAGATTAGACTGCAAATTCCCCTACCTCAGTAGTGTCCATGAAAGGAACAAGTAGCAGTTGCGTAATGCAAGATGAAAAGAGCAAGGACAGCATGTATTGATACTTCTCATACTATACCTTTCTAGGTCCAGCACAAAGCTGCTTCTTTGGGCTTCAGTAGCATTGCACAGTTGGATTTTCCTGGATGCAAAACGGATACTCACAGAGGAGGACGAACAGCTCATGAACCCAAGCAACCAACCTACCCCTGTTTATGCCTAATACATGTTTCAGCAGTACAAATTTTGATCCAGGGCAGGGCAGGGGGAAATACAGGAGCTTCAGATATGTCCCTAGGCAGATACCTCTGATGAAAATTCTAGATGTTTCATAACAAAGAAAATCTATTCATGTGGGAGGAATGGATTTGCATCTCAACATCTAATACTCCCAAGCAGCATGTTCACATTGGACAACACTGAAAGTCCACACATTTAGCAAACTCCAATGACCTGGGTGAAAACCCTAGCTAGTTAACCATCATCTATAAACAGAAGCTTGCCTAAAATGCCTTCAACAGCCAAAGGGACAAATTCTCAGTTAGCAATAGTTGGTCTACATAAAACCTTGACATTTTCTGGATTTTATTGAACTGTTCGTTTTTTTTGGTCTTTCTGCATGGTGTTCTCTCAGTAATTTAACTTCATAGAATCATAGAATGGTTTGGATTGGAAGGGACCTTAAGATCATCTAGTTCCAAGCCCCTGCCATGAACAGGGATGCCTCACCTAATCATCTTTATGACCCTCCTCTGGACTTGCTCCAACAGCTCCAGGTTCCTCTTCTGTTGAGGACTTGTCCTACCCTTGTGGGCTGTCATTAACTCTGACAACACTGGAAGTCTATCGTTTCCCAAAGCATGACACAAATCACATATTGCACTCTGAGGAGAACTAGAGAAAACAGAGTTGTTTAGAAACTTTAATACTGGTAAGCAGCATGCTTGTTTTTATTATTGTTCTAATTTCTGTTGCTTGCTGCAGAGCACTGTAGACTACAGAGCTTCTTAGGCACTAGCCTCTACAGTGTAAGTAGTCAGACTTTTGCACAGCGCTTAACCCGTGGCCAGTTTTATTTAGGGTGAGTGGTTCCTTTCTGTTGTGTAATCACCCTGAGATCAGGGATGACAGAAACAAGTCTCTGGAGCCCTCCTGTGCCCTCACAATTTGTCTCTGTCCGAGTTCAATTGGACAAAACCCCAGTGTCGGACTCTGTTTCAGTTTGTGATCCTGAAATGGGTGGTGTGAGGGACTGATCTGAAAGGTCAGTTGAGGTCTTACCTCAACTCTTTCCTACTCATCCCTCAGGCAATGGACAGTGGAAGAGTCTTATCTCAACTCCTCCTACCCATCTCTGAGACAAAAGATAGGTGGATTTCCATCTCAGCTTCTCATACCAGTCTTGGAAACAATGGAGTCTGATTTCAGATCATTCTCTCCCAGTCTACTACTTAGCCCTTTGCACTTCCACCTTTAATGCACACAGGGAATTCGAGGTAGGAGCACTCAAGAAGCACTAGTGTGCAGCACTTGGACCCAGTGGCTGAACAGTACAATTAGGTTATTGTCTCCCATCAAAATGTGCTCAAGATGTATTTTGCAATGTCACCCAGTGCCACTCTTTTGTAAACTGCTTATAGTTGTTACCCTCATGTATTTGATCAGTTTTCTCTGCCCTGTACACTGCCCACTGTCTCAGCAAGGTGAGTTCGCGGGAAATGGAGATAGCAGTAAGAGGGCACAAAATCTGCTGGTTCTGATCCTACAGCTGAGGCCAAACCCAGTAGAAACAGATCCTCAGCAGGCATAAACCAATTGCAAGTAACAGTGAAATAGGAGTTTCCACTTCTATTAGAACAGACTGGGGAATATAAAGGGAAAGTAATTTTTAGCTTACTCTGGAAGCTTCTATTCTTGATTCATTTGGAAACAAGGCAGCCTTAGTAACATTGGGGGGGGGAAAAAGTTTATCCTACTGGCTTGAAACCAGTGAAATCTGCATAAACATTATGGGGTGCAAAGTGGATTACTTGTACCTAGCTTCAGCTGAACACTGAATATATATACCAATATATGCCCTTAACTGACAAGGAAAAGAGTGTAAACATTGGTTTACACAATGATCTACTAGATGTAACCATTGAAAATGCATGACAGTGTCTCTGGTCCTAGGAGCAGTGATAATCATCTAAAGGAACATCTGCTATTTCATCTTTGGGAAAACAATGCATCACTATGCCCAGGCACTGCACTAAAATGTACATACTTGTTTCAAAAAACTGATTTACTGACTGGGACAAATCTTCAGATGGCGTTCACTGGCAGATTTCTGCCAAAGTCAACAGAGTTGTAGTGATTTATACTCACAAAGCGCATAATCTGCTGTAGAGAAATACGACTGAAGTCTCCTTTCCCTATATACCCTACACACTGTAGTGTTTATTGTTTGACAGACCATTTGGGGACATTCAGGCTACTAGAATGCCATTTCAGCTGATGCATGCCAAGATCTCCAGGCTGGCAAAGACTTGCTGACAACCTACAACACACTTTAAATGATAGGTCTGTGCAGCACAGCTGCAATCCCAGATACATATTCTCTTAAACCAGACCAAATGAAGACCTGAGCTGATGAATGCTCTCAGTATAGCACTCCAGCAACCACAGGCATTTGGAGGCATTTCTGCAGGGCAACCGCAATTCCATGAATATCTCAAGGCAAAGCAGACACAGGTGAGTTGCTGAATCTTCTGAGGCTGAGAAAATGCCTTCTTCACACACACACAAAAAAAAACCACCAACCAGCTCTAAATCTGGCTTTGAATAAATTGCAAAATGTCTTCTTATTATAATTACCAAGATCCCAGAGGGTACATATAATTGAATTAAGGGGTGTCTCTACTTGCATACTTAGTGGCTGTAGAGCTGTCTTCAGCTTCAGTCTGTGGTCCCGTAATCAGTGTCCAGAACATGCACAAGACGCCCTTTAATTCAGTTATAAGTAGCCCTTGGGGAACCATAGAATTAAACAGTATCATAAGGTTCTAAACACGGTCCGTACAAGGGCTAATTCCATGTTCCCACTCAATAGAGGATTTCTCAGCCTCATCAAAGTTTTATGCAAAAATTTTGGCTAATATTTTGAAAGCATGTTACTTCATTTGACCTAAATGACTTTTGCACATGTTCATTTCCATTTTACTCTACCAGCCTGTTTAACATAATAGCATATTAACAGTACATTTGAAAGAAGAGTCAGTGGTTTGGAGTCAGCCCAAAGCAGTCACAGGAGCAGGAGAGAGCAATAAGAGTTTTGAAGAAGGAAAATCAGACTTGAATCCCCATTACTGCTTTGCAAAATACAAATATCCTTGCTCACAGGGGATCTTTTGGCATAAGAACATAATGTTATTTGTACCAGATTACCAGATTATTTCCATAAAGATGGTCCCTAAAAACTCTAGACTACTACAAATGTCTCCTTACAACTGGAAAATGCCGATGAAGCAAATACTTATTATGTCTTTTAACATGTGTGCAAATAGTATCTTTTTATATAATATTTTATATACCATTCAATATACCCATTCTGTGCCTGGCAAAATCTTGGAGCAGATTCTCCTGGAAGGCATGCTAAGGCACATGAAAATCAACAAGGTGCTTGGTGACAGCCAGCATGGCTTCACTAAGGGGAAATCCTGCCTGACCAATTTGCTGGCCTTCTGTGATGGGGCTACAGAACTGATGGACAGGGGTAGAGCAGTTGATGTCATCTACCTGGACTTGTGCAAAGCGTTCGACACTGTCCCACAAAACATCCTTCTCTCTAAATTGGAGAGACATCAATTTGATGGATGGACCACTCGGTGGATAAAGAACTGGCTGGATGGCTGCACAAAAAGAGTTGTGGTCAATGGCTCAATGTCCGGCTGGAGACCAGTAACGAGTGGTGTCCCTCAAGGATCAGTGTTGGGACCGATCTTGTTCAACATCTTTGTTGGTGACATGGACAGTGGGATTGAGTGCGCCCTCAGCAAGTTTGCTGATGACACCAAGCTGTGTGGTTCGGTTGATACGCTGGAGGGAAGGAATGGCATCCAGAGGGACCTTGACACGCTTGTGAGGTGGGCTGATGCCAACTTCATGAGGTTTAACCATGAGAAGTGCAAGGTCCTACACCTGGATTGGAGCAATCCCAGGCACAGCTGCGGGTTGGGCAGAAAAGAGATTGGGAGCAGCCCTGTGGAGAAGGACTTGGGGGTGTTGGTTGACGAGAAAATGAACATGTGCTGGCTTCAGTGTGCGCTTGCAGCTCAGAAAGCCAACTGTATCCTGGACTACATCAAAAGAAGCGTGACCAGCAGGTCAAAGGAGGTGATCCTGCCCCTCTACTCTGCTCTCGTGAGACCTCACTTGGAGTATTGTGTGCAGTTCTGGTGTCCTCAACATAAAAAGGACATGGAACTGTTGGAACAAGTCCAGAGAAGAGCCACGAGGATGAGCAGGGGACTGGAGCACCTCCTGTATGAAGACAGGCTGAGAAAGTTGGGGCTGTTCAGCCTGGAGAAGAGAAGGCTGCGTGGAGACCTCATAGCAGCCTTCCAGTATCTGAAGGGGGCCTATAGGGGTGCTGGACAGGGACTCTTCATTAGAGACTGTAGTGACAGGACAAGGGGTAACGGGTTAAAACTTAACCAGGGGAAGTTTAGGTTGGATATAAGGAGGAAATTCTTTCCTGTTAGGGTGGTGAGGCACTGGAATGGGTTGCCCAGGGAGGTTGAGAATGCTCCATCCCTGGCAGTGTTCAAGACCAGGTTGGACGAGGCCTTGGGTGATATGATTTAGCGTAAGGTGTCCCTGCCCATGGCAGGGGGGCTGGAACTAGATAATCTTAAGTTCTTTTCCAACTGTAACGATTCTATGATTCTATGATTCAGCAGTGTGTGTGGACAGGCAATAGACATGATTAGTAGAACACTATACCATTAGACTTGTGTTATTAAATCTTCTTGTTTATAACTTTGCCAAACTTATTCCATAATTTTCTCTGATGATTATCTGCCTTATTTGATTTTTATTCTTTACTGAATGCAAAACAGCTCAGTCATTTCCAAAAGTGAAACACACTTCTTCATTGTCAACTTCAGATAAAATTCTAGTTATCTTTTAACCTATATGCTATGATTATATTGAGTGTTGATACTAGCCCAAAAGAAGAATATGTGATGTGGGCTTATGACAAAAAAAAAACAACAAACCCAAACCAAAGAATGCTTCATCATTATGGTAGGCATTTAAAACAGAGCATGCATTTACTTATCAGGGAGTAGCTGTTCATAAACTTAAAAGGACAGCATTTTTTTTTATTACACATCAGAATCCAAGCCATAGAACAATTGAAATTAATTTGGTGTATCTGTATATATATGTGTCTTGTAGACATTGACTAGCATTGGGTCATAAAACAAAACCAGAAAAATGGAGAGTGCACCTGGATGGAGCCTGCCAACAATAGTTGTGACTGGAAAGCCTGCCTTGTTTTCAACAAAAAGCCAAGCTGAGAAAAAGTTTTCTCCAAAGACCCTCTTCATACACAGCTGGGAAGTAACACTGCTGACTAGGAAAAGCTAGTATTTTTAGCTGGGTCTACAACAGGTTACTTTCTGACCTCAGTGACTCATGTAAATCCCAAATAACACCA